CTTCCTAAGCCAAAACCCACAGAACTACTACAGAAAGGCGTGGAATCAGTTCACGAGTATTCGGCCTCAGAGGAGAGGGAAGACAGTCGACGCTGGAAGATGCTTCGTATTGGAGACCAGGAACACAGAGTGGACATGAAGGCCATTGAACCTTACAAGAGGGTCATCAGCCATGGAGGCCAGTACCATTGAAGTACCTCTAGTAGCAAGTCTTGAAACTTTACATACAATTTGGCAGCATCTCACTGTACTTATTAGAAGTATTATTTTTAAGGGCCTCTCTAAATAAATTATGAGTGATTCCTAATCTTAATTCCAGCTGCAGCCAGGACATGAAAACTACATTTATCGAGTCATCGGTGAAATCTGACAACAAAGACACTTAGGTATATCTGCCCCAGCTTGAGGCTTAAAAAGCTTTCATCGCAGAGGTTACACTTTTACAAAACGTTGATTCACAAGATTATGGCTTCATTAACGGTTAAATCCAGTGATGACACAATCAAAGCCATAGTCTGGCTCCTCCCACCAGAGCAAAGAACAAATGGCATGCTAATTAATCTTATAGACACAGTAAGCCCAAAACAATGTTATGATTGGCTCATATTTTATCCGATCGGTTCTTTGGTAGCAGCAGTGGATGAATAAACTGTATTGCCGGTACACGTTTGACATGATTCAATCAGCTTGTGTGTATTCACAGTATGAATTCCTTTTTTTTTTTTTTTAATATTAAAAATGACTTTGTGGCGTTTGAATCTCTCATTGCAGGTTACTATGGAGACGGTTTGAATGCCGTAATTGTGTTTGCTGTGTGCTTTATGCCGGAGAGCAATCAGCCAAATTACAGATACATCATGGAGAATTTATTCAAGTGAGTTTTTATTTGAAATTTAGTTCCTTCACACATTTTAGAGAGCTGTGTCAAATGCGATATTCTTGTTTCAGGTACGTCATTGGCACACTGGAGCTTTTGGTTGCTGAGAACTATATGATTGTGTATTTAAACGGGGCGACCTCTCGTAAGAAGATGCCAACTGTTGGCTGGCTTAGAAAGTGCTATCAGCAGATTGATAGGAGGTGAGTGAGTTGCACAACTTGGAAAACTGGTTTTTAAAAGACAGACAATATGAGAACATAGATATTTGGGTCACTTTAGACAAATAAGCATCAGATCGTAACACCTGTCCTCACTCTTCTTTACAGGCTACGGAAGAATCTGAAATCCTTGATAATCGTACACCCCTCTTGGTTCATTCGCACCCTGCTGGCACTCACCAAACCTTTCATAAGGTAACTGTAATGTAAAAAGGTAATCACAAGTCAAAGACATTCGTGGTGTAATCTCTTTATTCTGAATGTTTCTGATTTCTTTTTCACAGCTCCAAATTTAGTCAGAAAATCAAGTACGTGTACAGCTTGTCAGACCTTGCTGACATGGTTCCAATGGAGTATGTGTCCATACCAGATTGTATCAAACAGTAAGTATGGTGTTTGTAGCACTGATGTCTGTGTTGCATTATAGTGGTTTTCCTCGTGGCAAGGGTAGGCCGTAAGTTAGCTGTGTCCCACTGACCTAAATGTGCACACTGCGTCATTATACAGGAGATACAGTCTGCCCAAAGCCCATAAGCATTACTATTATTATTATTATTATCATCATCATCATATATGCATGATCCCGTGTTACAATGGCAATGTTTTATTGCCACGTCACTACATATTGCTTCCAGTGTATACACAGCTTAGATTGTTGTTTTGTAAGTATTCTATAAGCTGCTGTTAAATATCGTAGTGTTCATTTCTTTGCTAATATGCATAATTATTGAGTTGCACTACAAATTACTCATGCTGTCTTCTTCTTTGAGGCTCTGCACGTGACAAATCTTGTATCGTCACGGCATTTAAAAAGGCAGCACAAATAACTCCTCTTGACTCAGTGAAACTCAGTAAAATGTTTTTCTCTTTTGGATGTGTGGTTGCTGTCGGCTGTGTGTTTCTTCTTCTGCCTAACCCGATTTCCCTGCCCCCTTCTTAAGGTTTGACGAGGAAAAAAATAGGAAAAGCCGTAAAAGGTATATGCACTTTCACCCAGGGTCAGCTTCCGCATCTTCTGCATTTCATAAAACTAACAGAGAAATGATGAGTTGGCTTTCAGAAATGCACCAAGACACCTAACTTTCTTTCATTTTCATAGTTGGATGATTTTTAGTTACTGCTTGTCCCGAATCAACAGCTTTCCTCTCCAACTCCCCACATGTTCATCTGATTTGATTCAGGATTTACCTTCCTAATTAACAGATTGAGAGTACATTTTTTGGTCTCCAACAAATAGGTGACTTGGTGATTATTTAACCAGCTAAATAGATTTTCTGAGCCACTTTTGTGAAGATCATCCCCAAAAGACTATTGCATTTACATTTATTACCTCAAAGCTACCTTAAAATTGTATTCAGCACTTAGTTTTGTTTGTTTTTTTTAAGCCGCAGAGCGTGCTTGCTCACAGCTCATACTTGCTGTCACAAGTCATAACTTCACAAGCTACATGAAGATAAGGTTTCAAGGAAGCTGAATGTGTTGCTGCTTGTTAAGGTAAAAAAAGCCAGGGCATTAAGTTGCACTTACTTGCATTTATCTTGTGAAAAACAGGCTCTTATTTTGAGGAGGTTGGTGTTTGGTAAGTTTGTTTGTGTGTACAAATGAATGGGGTCAAGTAAGGAAGTAGCTCGCCTTAGTCACTGTGGTTTTTGGTGGCACTGCAGCCGTGGCCTCACATGGTTTAGTAACTGGCTCTCACTGAACACACGGTTTGTTCATTCTCACAGCTCTTTGCATGACTCACTGCTTACCCGCTGCCCACTGATTTTTGGTAATTGCCACCTCTTTCAGTTTTAATATTCTGCTTATTGTTGATTCAGTAATGACCACTCAGGAAGAGATGGTATTCAGCAAGACAAAGGCTTTTCTGGCAATATTTAATGTATTTTTACTGCTAAAGTAGAAGCCAAAGTAGAAATTTTTCACTTTTCAATGGAAACAGGAAACTTTTAACGATACAGCTGGTACTGATCTTTGTACTGATCAGACATTTTAAGAAGTTGCATGTATACAAAATACATACATGTGTATATACAATATATACAAATTGGGATTTGTATATATTTCAGCGTTTTAAAATTTTTTTTTTTTTTTTTTTTTTTTTTTTTTTTTTTTTTTTGGGCAAATTGGTCTAGTGAGTCTGATCATTTTTATACATTCCTGTGTATAGAAATAATCCTGACACCAAAAAATCCCATTTTGATAGTGTTACAGATTTTGTACAGTTTTAATGACCACTAAATTTGTGTGCAGAATCGATCAGGACATGCACGGCAAAACGGAGAGCGCAGCTGCTACTGTCCCGGAGTGACCTGGCTCACGCTTCGAGACATGGAAAGGAACGGTGAAGAATGTTGAGGACTGCAGCCATTCATGTTTGTTTTCTGGGTGATGGGACTGGAGGCTTCTTTGCATCAAGAAAGTGCCTTTTTGACATGATGCTGCCTGTTACATGTTGGAACTGTTTTTGTTTTTGTGCTGCATTTCTGTGTCAACCAGTTTGATCTGCAGCACTTTGTCCACATGCTGTCATAAACTTTTTAATCCTTTTTTATTTACTCCTGTATCTCGTGTCAAACTAAGCGCATTGGTTTCCCTGTAGCTACTGGTGTATGTACACTATTTGAGGCACTCTTGTTACAAGTGGTTGATGCATGTTCTACTTTATTACATTTAAAATTATATATTTATATTCAAAAGGTGTCAAAGGAAATAAATTAATATATTTTTATGATGGATCTGATTTTAAACTGCGTATTAGGTCACTGACTCACTGAGTGGCATTGGATAGAACACGTTTAATGGCATCTTGTTCACTGTTCACTGCTGATGTTCTCTGTTAAAAGCCTGCCTGGGGAAAGGAAATCTTTGTTTTTATTTAAATTTTTTTTTTTTTCCTCGCTTGCCCCTCACTTGAATGTACTGTTTTTGCTTGTTGAGGGTGAACACTTGCGAAAGAAACTATCTGAACCAAGGATGTAGGTCTTTATTTTCTCATTTCCTTCAAAGTAAAGCCATGGATCCAATCTGATTGCTTTGTATCTTTTATTATTGTTGTTATTATTAGTTTTAGATCTTTTTTTTTTTTTTTTGTAATGCAAAATTTTTGGGAATAACAAGATAGTTTTTGCGCTACAATAGTTCTGTAGTGGTCAAAAGTATGTTTAACAGGAAATGAGAATTTACAAGAACAAAAACAAAAGGCAACGTGCACTCAGCTATTAATTGTCTATATGGAAATAAAATGTAGCCTAATGCAGTAGTTCTGCAGTAAATGTGCTTTCAGTTAGGTTAAAACTTTTACTTGAGACAATGTGAGCTGAGTTAACTACCTAGTAATTGCAAGGACAAAATTAGAGAAACCTCTGTTTAAATACAATTTTAAAAAATGCAATACAAAAACAATACACTTAAAAAGAAAAGATTTGAATTTCAAATGATCTGTTGTGAAAGTTTAATAGACATACTTTAAGCAATGTTTTTCACCTTTGTGTGTCTCTTCTGCCATACTTGAGCTCCACTAGATGGCACTGCAATTACAGGTTTCACTGACAAGAAACTATTAACAGCTCTACAAGAAGGCTTGAAAGAAGTACCAAAAATGACAAGGAACAGTGACAGCCACGGGATTTTACATTTACATGACTGACATTTTAGTATAAATTATTGCTGATCTGAAAAAATCTAATTCTCCATAGTTGTTGAAAAACCAAGGCATTAGACCCCTTTGCTTTGTTACAACACCTCCCAACATTCTTATCTTTTTAACCACTAAAGGCAAAAATAAAACTCAGGATCTTCTACGGGTGTAACTTAGAAAGGACTTTCTACTTACAACAAACAACGCAAACTTCACTTATAATGAATTACACTTTTAATTCATTGTAAGTTTTACTCAATGGTCACATTTTCCTAGTGGACAGTGGATCATGACCTAAAGCTTTGAAACGCAGCACTGATTCCAGACACCTTATGGCAACATCATCAACCTCTGGATCAAACTTATTTGCAAACAGGTGGTGTTGTTTCAGGAGCCATGGGAGGTCACCCGCTCCATACACACAAATAGATCTTCTATAAACACCAGTGCATGGGTAATATGGGGCTCCCTTATTCATATCTCCTGCTGAATACGACCACTTCACTGCCCGAGCCAAAGCTAGCATGTCTGACATGTCATACTTCCCATTTGGGGGCATTGACCCAGGAACAGAGGGCATCCTCTGCAGGGTGGCCCACAAGTGCTCATCAGGGCTGTATGTGTCCTTCTCCCACTCCAGAAACTTCTGAACCTCTCTGTCCTCCAACACATGTTCCACAAAAGCTCTTGTGACCACAAAGTAGGCATTTCCTGAGAACATGGGGATGCTGATTGGTGGGGCACTTTTCCACACATATGTGCCGATAACACTGTTGGTGACATTGTGGTGATACTGCCAACGACCTTTCTTGCAGCCAGAAGTCACCTCAGACTCCATGCTGTTCCTCCCATTGAGAAACTTCAGTGCCCTCACCATCTCTCTGTTTGTTTTGATGGGGAAGTCTGTCCCACAGGTGTTAAGCAGGTACCTCCAGTTGATGTGAGTATTTAGCAGATCTTTCATGCAATTCAGATCTGCCTGTACTCTGAACCACGAGGCATATACCACTCTTTCTAATTTACTGGCTACAAACACATTAGGAAAGCATGAAGCAATCGCAGCCACAGCCTTCATGAATGATGCAGAGGATTTCTGGTCCACGTGTACACAGTAAATGTTCTGAGGAGCATAAACAGCTCGTAGAAGCCGCTCAAACATCTCAATCTTGTCATGGATCACCATGGAGTATGCAATGGGGAAATCTTTCTCTTCCTCACTGAGAGGAGCTGTGATGAAACCTCTTTCTTCAACGTAAACTTGACAGTTGACTGTTGCATTAATGTAGAAGTCCTCAGAAAAAACATTCTTCTTTTTCCTGGATGACAGAAGCCTTTCTAATTCACCTTCCTTACCTTTCACATCACCAGTGATAATAGTCGAACAACCAGGCAGATCAGCTGAGAACTGAGGAGGTATTTGCAGATCAGATGGTGACTGTTCAGAGCCAAATCTCCAAAGAGCAAAAGAAAGGAACAAAACCATCAAGGTAAGAAAAAGATTTCTTAACATACGACCCTTTGTAAAATACATATCCTTGTTTGAAAGGGACTGCCACACAGGTGACTTTGTCTTCAGTGCAGGTTACAGTTCGACTAAATGGTGAGAGGCTGCACCGTGGGGAGGTGTGTCAAGCTAAGGCGGAGACAATAAAAACATTACCTGGGAGGTTATGCCTATTACATCTATTTCTTTTGTCCCCATGATAGATCAGAGAAAACTGACTCATAGTGTGTTAAAACATCTATATTTCATCCATGATACATACCTCAGTTAGGGTGAGCTCTAGATGCATCTGAAGCATTAACATTTTGATCATAAAATTAAAAATAAACTCAAGAAAACAATATCACAGTAACAACCACAGGCTTTTACATATTACATGACTGATATTTTAGTCGATGTTTCTCAATAGCTCAGTTATTTATGCTGCATGGCTTTTGGACCCTTGCTTCATGTAACTCCATTTCTCTGCCTTCCTGTTTCCTCGTCACCTCACTAAAGGCAATGAAAAAATTCTTAATATAAATCTTTATAATAATTTATTTAAATCTCAAAAACTACATATCAATGCCATGATATTTACTTAAATAACTCGAATATCACAAATTACACTTTTAAATCATTGTAAGTATTACTCTGTGCCTGGGTCCTCGTCACAAAACATGACATCACTGTTTTGTACATTTAAACACAATTTAATCCCCACATTTGTGAAAGAAATGCAAAACACTTTTTTGAAAAGTCTGTAGCAAAACCATCAAATCTGATAAAGGTTATTTAAATGCTGCAAAAGAAGAATGAATTGGAATATAAAAAAAAAATACATATCCTAACCTTAATTACTGGGGGAGAATAATGGATGATGCTCATAGTGAGTAAAAAGTAAACTGACTGCATTTTTTGGATACATAAAAAATACTCCCAAAACAGAATAAAATTATTACAAATAAATTATTACAAAATATTGATAAAAACTATGAAAAGTGAGGCAACTTTGCCTGTGGTAGAATGTATAAAATGTATGAAAAAATCTTTACTGCTGATACTAATTTTACTAATTTAATAATTCTAATTTTGTGTTGTAAGATTTATGAGTTTCATACATTCATAGTGGTACTTGGGAGAGCTTGACATTTTATCAGGTGGTACACACTGTAAAAAGTTTGAGAAACACTGATAAGTGTATGTGTGCTTTTGGAAAACATTTAAAGCTGCAGTACAGAATCTTTTGAAACAAGCTTAAAACATTTTTAGAATAGAAACAGAGCACTCTGCTTCTCTCTACAGCTCCTCACTCCACCAGGGCTGTTTGGCACTTTCTGATAGTGTGCAAATGTGATGTACGTACTGCGGCAGTCATACAGACAACTGGATGGTCCAAAGGTTGGCCTACCTATTACTGGCTGAGGTTTAAGAGTTGTGGCTGAACCACATAAAAATATATCATTAATTTTAATCTCCCCAATCAATGATAATGTTATGTTGGTTTTGCAGATTCTGCATAGCAGGTTTAATATAGGGGGAAAACAACTTCCAGATTGTGTGAGTAAAATCAGGTTTTTTCTCTTTGTCAGTTTAACAGTTTCTGTTGTGCCTGTCACTGTTCCCTGTCTGTCTTCTTACCCGGTTCTTCCTGACCTTGTACTTTCTCCTCATGTTCCCCTCTCTCCCTCTTTGGACTGACAATCTTACACAAATAGATTATATACAATTAGATGAAAAATTAAATTAATATGAAACAAATACTGTAGATCATTGGTTAAATGATCACCAAGCAATATTTGTT